GCTTCTTTCGCTTGAAATGATGGTTCTAGTTTCTCTTGAAGTGTCGTATGCACCACCTTTGGGACCACTTCCAGGCTGGATCCAAACCTAAGATGGCAGCTCTAATGCCGGCGTGCCGATCAGAGATTATTGTCAGGTTCGTTCTCCTAGTGACGTGGAGCTGAATTTGCCGAAAAAACCATTCGTAGCTATCAGCATTCTCTCCCTCAACAATGGCGAAGGCTAAAGGAAAGACTTGTTTGTTTGCATCCGCTCCACTGGCAATCAGGAGAGTGCCCTTGTACTTGCCGGTAAGGAATGTACTTGGATCATAGGGGCACAGAAGCCAAAACCATCAATAGATGGCTTGAATGCCCCAAAAAGTCGTCTGAAATGGCGTTTGTTACCGGGCTCTGGCGGTTGTATCTCTTCATCTTGGTATCGAGGGGAGAAAACAGTGTCAGGGTTAGACGCCTCCAATGCCAAAATCAACCTAGGAAGGAATGCATATGATTCTTCCCAATCACCAAAGACGGCAGCCAGAGCTTTCTGCTTTCCATGCCACGCCTTCTTATAGTTAATCACATAACCATAACGACTTGCAATGTCAGCGATTATGACTTTGACTTTCAAGTCAGGATCTTGCTCAATTAGATGCTTGAAAGCCGCAACAACCACCCTGGATTTCAATTGTCGATGGCCTTGTGATGTTATGGATGACACACATGTGTGTGTGTTCACCGCACGGGATATGACCCAATGGTCGTGTCTCTTGCTGTTGATGGCCCGAATCCTAACATTGCATCTCTCGTGATGACGGCATCTGACTATTAGCCTTTTCGTGTTAGAATGAGTTGTGTGTCATTCAAAATGCCGAGTCATTGCTTCAGTATCAATGGCGTGCCGCACCTCCTTCTTCGAGCCAAATTGTTGGCCCTTCATAAACCCGGTGAGTGGACCCCATACTGGGACCTCTGGCGGCTCCATGTTGTCGACACACCAATTCTCGTCTGGAATGTGGTTGTGGTAGGGGACTGGTACACGGTCACGAGCCACCTCATCATCATTATCTGAGTCTGACTCTGGTCCTGAATCATCAACACCTTCAAGAGGGTCGGAGCTGTCTGCACTGACGTTGTTCTCTCCTTCTTCATCGGAGGGGTTAGGGGTGGGCAACGGGACGGGACGGGATACCCGTCCCGTTTGAAACGGGTACCCAGTCCCATTTGGAGAGTAATCTCTATCCCATGTCCCAAATCCGTATGGGTTAACGGGTACCCATTACCTGTACGGGAAGGATAACGGGTACCCATATTATCCGTAAATACCCGTCAATCGAAGCTCTAAAAATATGGAACCTGTGTTCACACTGGTACCATCGAGTACTGGCGGCCATGTAATAGAAATGGCCACGTTGACCCATGTTCTCTATTGTTGAAACTGAAGTAAGATTCTAGAGCCAAGTCCATCAGTGTCTTCCTCAGAAACACAAGTAAAGGACACAGACAGTAGTCCAAAGAAGAAAACAGTGGATGAGTATGATATAAGACTAATGGCTGAGACAATTTATGCGATCTCCGGTGCAATTTATTGGATTGTTGATTAGGTTACATAGGTTATGATTGCTTGTGTCGTGGGATTGGATTTTAGGCTTTTGGATTAATGGGTATAACGGGTACCCGTAATACCCAAACGGGTATTAACGGGTAACCCGCGGGTACCCAAAGTAGCGATTTTTGATCCCAAGTCTCATCCCGTAAAATAAATTACGGGTATTTGGGTACCCGTAACCCTCAAATAATGGGCCGGGTATGGGTATACCCAAATACCCGTTTCTCGTTGCCCACCCCTAGGAGGGGTTGGTGCTGGCAGGGCATCTTCCATCTGATCCAACTCATGAAAGGCATCTTCATCAGCTCCATAATGGTAGTTGTGAAAACTACCGCCTAATTGGAAGTTGTACTCGGGTTGGTTAGCATGGTCTGGTTGAACTTCTTCTTCATATGATGGGAAAGATTGATGATGACCTTCACCTTGCTCTTGGTACTAAAAATAGGAATGAGGATCATGGTAACTTTGTTAGGGATGATCTCCATATAGTTCACCTCCACCATGGATACCAGATGTTTGACCGTCTCTAGAATGACCTTCAACGCCTACGACCGCCTCGGTGTAACGAACATCTCGGCTTTGGAAAGATTGTTGGACCTCAAATATTCGAGCATGACATCTACTTCATCCTGAGTGGTTATGAGATATTCCTCGTGCCACAACGACCTGTCTTCTCTGTTTGGATATCGGTACACCATACGATCAACTCTTCTCGTGCCATCCATGCAAGTAACGTTAGTACACATTTGATAGAGGTCTTCAAGCATCGGCCTGGTAGCGACCTTTATTTTCTGAAAATTGACACCGATGTAGGCGACCCCCTTTCCGATCTCTTCCGTGCAACCATTCCACCGTAACCCAAGCGTGAACTTTTGGAATGCCATCTGCAAAAAAATCGTAGTTCAGTTAATATCATAAAAATCACAAATCAGAATAAAAAGTAATACAAAATAAACTTACGAGTTAACGTTAACCTCAAAAACACTAAAGAAGTAGGGAGCTACAACAGAAAATTGAAAAGGGAGAAGGAGAGGTGTGAAGAGAAGAGGTTTCTCGGGGCTGTCTTTTATAGGCAAAATTATCAATGAAAACCGCATGGGGAGGGTGCAGTTTTCATCTGCCATGCAGCCCCACGTCTGTCAACCTGCATGGCAACATGTTTGATGTCGGAAAAATAATTACGACACACAAACCGCATGGGGGGGGGTGCGGTTTGTGTGGGCAAAACAGCATGTTGAGGGTGCGGTTTGTTTTGGAGAAACAAAACCGCATCCCCAACGTGCGGTTTTGCTAGGTCAGCCCAAGAACCGCACCTAGGCCATGCGGTTCTGTTAGGTCAGACCAAAAACTGCATGGCCAAGATGCGGTTTTGGCCCAGAATCTTAAACCGCACCTTGGGCGTGCGGTTTACATATAAACCGCACAATGTGCGTGCGTTTCACAATCAAACCGCACCTTAGAGGTGCGGTTTAAAAAAATGTGCTATTTTTTTGTAATTTTCATGGCCTGGGTGCTATTTTTGTAATTTTTTTAAAAAGGGTGCTATTTCTGAAAAAATCCTCATCTCGTGGCACAAAAAGTCCTTTCATCGAAACCGTTATTGTTAGTGGGTTTCGGATTTGTTGTATGGCTACAATCACTTTGATACTGGTTGTATCATGGTCGCACCATTTCACTTTCAAAATCGGCACACCGGCATAAACCGGTTTGACAACTTGGGTGAGGGTTTTGTCTGAAGGACGCTTTACTTATCAATGGCCATGTGCTTTACTTGAAGTGGATGCCTGCGTTAGTGCATTTGGCTTTCTAAGTCTTAACAATGTTGTCTTACGCTAAACAAAGTTTCATACATAATAATTCTTTTGTTAAATAAACACAATAGTTCTATCTGTCAGCTAGCTAACTGGGACAGAAGCTTGCATCAAATTTAAAAGCAAAGTCTGCACCTTTATGGTTTTTAATCATACTTAGTTCAATGTCTACATCTACTATTAATTATGCCCATCATTGAAAGTGACATTCATGAAAGTCATTCCACCTTTGATCTGACATGATCCCCATTCATATCCTAAAATTTCTCGGAGGTGCAAGTATATGTTTCAATATAAGTAATTTGATATCACCATAGATGGATAAGGGAATTCTGATGGGATCGGTTCCTTAGATTTGTCATCGTCAGTAGGGATGGCAATTTCGATCTGATCCATTATACTCGATCTGTTTGCCCTGTTTTGGGGTGGGTCCGACCCGACTCGTCTTGTAGGCGAAGTGGGGCGGACATGGGTACTCTCATCGATCCGACCTGTACTGACCCGCCCTATTCTCGACCCGTTCTTGCCTAAGATATTTGTATTTTAGTCAAATTACTTATGATTTTCCTTTTATTACATCATATTTTAGCTATAATAAAGTTGCAAATTAGTGAAAACCTCAATTTCTTCAATAATTTAATTACATTTATCATAATATGATTTGTTTTCTTGGTCTTATAATGAAATTAACTAATATTTCTAATGCTTTCCAAATAAATTGCATACCCATTGGATCGACCTGACCCAACTCGCCACCCATAATAAATTACCCGATTTGCACCCAACCTGCCACCGAACGAATATGGATATCGTGATACCTGCCATTACCTACCCATTATCATTCCTAATCGTCGGGCAGCAGAAAGAAAGAATCATTCCGCTACGACCTACAATACAAGAACCCAATTCGCAACCCCATGGATGGTAGTGGACTCACAGGAGCAAAAGAAGAGAATATCAGCATAGATGGAGGAGATTTTTGGAATTAATGAAGAATCCGATGGGATTATGTTATCAGCGGAATCCGCATACATCTCCCACTAACGTTTCGGCAGCAGCGGTGCATCAGATCTCCTTCTTTGGGATAGTGGATGCCTCTAATTATATATTTCATCCTTGGGTTTAAGCTTTAAACAACCTAAAAAGCAAAACAACCAACCCATAAACAAAAGCGACTTTCAATCTAGGTAGGATACTGTCCTTTATGAAATCTTCTGCAGCAGGCCTTCCCTAATACGCCCATGCTTTTCGTTGTTTGCTTCTCATGTTACCATACGAATGGATGTTATATACTTGTATACCATTTCTCTTCTCATACCATCAAAATCTTCAGGCCGTCCAAGATGTGCACAAATCTTCAAGCTGCTCAACTCTTCACTCCGAAACATTGGCTCTTCACCAACACACAACTGGATATCTCTTGACGACGGCGACCAAGAATGACTAAACTCGAACGAACGCTCGGGAAATCAATACACTAGCCGATTGAATAAGAAAAACAAAGCATTAACAGTAGAAACCATAATGTAGAAGCTACCTGTTCAATTGTTCGTATCCGATTTGGCTGTTGTCCATGTAAACTAAGAAACCAGAATAAAAGACCATAATAAAGTACAGATGCAGGAAACAACAGAGGCTTTCATCCTATAAAGCAGAATGGGTTTAAAACTTTCGGAACACAGTAAAAATAACGTGTCTCAATCCTAGCAAGGTTTTTTTTTTTCACAACCTGCTACGCCGTTGCATATATAAATCTCTTGTTTGAGTTTGACCTTCCACAAAATAAGCAGATTCGATCCATGCACGAAGCTCGTCCAATTGCAAGGATTCGAACATTATCAGAAACAGCTCTAAAACACTACTACTACGGGGTTGGGGCTCCCTTTTTCACCTGTTGTCCTTGGTACTGCTTTATCTCCTTAATGATGCCATCGGCAAGCGACTCATCATCGTGATTTTTGCCAAAGAATTTCACGAATTGCATATCAGGACCCATCAAGTACCTGCACACCGCACCAAAGTATTTTACTGCTTTCTTTACCCCAGGAAGCCACGAAAAATGAGAAACAAATCAGTAACAGTTGCCTGTCCTAGCCAAGCAAGAAGATTGGACTGCAATTGGAGTAGGTAACTTGAATCTCAACTGTCATACAAAAGGAGCTCAATTTTAGTGGCAGGATCCATCAACTTACATGACGATGGAGTGATCAACTTGATAATCAGAATCTTCTACATCAGTCTTCATATAATAAACTCGATATGAACGAGCAACATTCTTTATATCAGATGGTGTGCCAGTCAATCCAACTAATTTCGGATGAAACTCTGAACAAAGAGAAGATATCATCACCAATGTGCTAATTAAGAGATAGAATTATACAAACAATTGAGAAGTGCCTTTCTAAGATGCACACCTTTGACATACTCCCGCACTTGATCGACAGTGTCCCTCTCAGGATCAACCGAAATAAAGACTGGGACAATCTCGAATCCTGCTTTCTTCTCTACAGAGCATGAAAATTATGAGTCAGAGACCAGATTAACCACATGTCAAGGTAAGCACAGAGAGCTACCCTCTAAAGCATTAGCAGTTAAAAAATTCAAATATCAAGATGTTGATGTGATTCAGTGAAATTTTTGTGGAAGTTCAGAGCTAAGGTATGCAAAAAATAGTAAATTCACAGAGTAAGGACATTTAAGCTCGAACTTCTGCACTCACTTATTTTTTCAACGGCAGAGGCAAGCTTTTGCAGTTCATCTGGGCAAATGTCCGGACAGTGAGTGAAACCAAAGTACATCACTGTCCATTTCCCAATGAAATCTTTCTCTGTAGCCTTCTTTCCTTCATGGTTGACAAGTGTAAAAGGTCCTCCAATGGCTGCTTTTCCTGCTGATGGCCCCTCTTTCACAGCTTGAGAACTCTTATTTATTTCTGGACAGATAAAAAAAACTTCATATTGACACCTCCATTGTATTCAAGTTAAACAGACAGGACAACAACCCTGGAAACTGTTCTACAACTTAATACTTCAGGATAAGGACCGAGACAGAAACATGAGAAAACAGAAACAGATATTAGAACAACCACCCTAAGTGATGGGGATAAACTAGAACCCTCACCTCTCCTTGCATTCAGAACTAAAATTGCAGGAAGCAAATGTGAAACAAAACCCTACTGATGACAATAGTGATTAAACATCCCCTGAAGCAGATTTATCACGATTTCTTTTGAATTCCATGTCACCCCCAAATGCCCTGAAAATGCACGCAAACTCACCATAGAAATGTACCTTCAATGTGTTTTTTCTTTTCCCTGTCGTAATAGAATATGATTCCGGCTCCAGTTAGGGCCAGCAACACAAAACTCAGCCACGACACGGGCTGCAACCATTATCCAGCACCAAGCTCAGCTGAGAAACACCCATGATGGAAATAGAAATAGATCCAAACGAGGAAGAAAATAGAGACATTACCCCACCGCGAACAGGTTTCCCAGCTTCGCCGCCTTGCTCTGAACTCCCACCAGATTTCTCGCCTCCATCCGGTTTAGCTTCCTCCACCTTCTTCGCACTCTCCGAGCCGACAGTACCCGCAGGAGAAGCTGTTTGAATGGACCTGAACAGAAATCTCTGCCCGATAGAAATTGGCGGAATACGGAAGTCCAAAGGCGCTATCTGCCGGAGAAATTATATATAATTGAGTACATGAAAGCCATTATCAAGCGTTCAAGACAGATGACAGGAGAATCATAAGAGGACGAACCGAGCGAAAGAGAGGCAGACTCTCGAGGACGGACGATGGCGGCACCGAGGTTACCGAGCGAAACTGACCGACGTGGTGGGAGTTTGCAAATCGATACGCTTTACGCAAATGATTTACAGTTCTGGAAAGCGCACTAGCCATTTTAAGACCGACTGACTCTTGCACTGCCGCCGAGCTCGGATTCTGCTCCCCTTAAAGCTGGGTGGATGCGGAAGGAGAATTTACTATAAACCCTACCGCCTGGCCGGAGATAGTGAATTGATAAACCCTACTGATCGGCAATTGGAAATATCTTTGGGAAATTTTGCGAGGTACGTGAAAGTGAAGAAGTTAGACCGTCGTCCTCTACCGGAAAAATGAAGCCCAATAGAACTGAAATAGAATTGGGCCCTTCTATTTTTTTTTTTTAAAGGGTGCAAGCACAGCTATCTATTATTGAGAAAATGAACTGCGAAACCACCGTCATACAAAAGTCAAAAAAATATGCAATGTCAGAATTCGAAGGAACACAAATATGAGCCCTAATTAGTAAACTATGGCCACGATGAGTCAAGTTATCGGCTAAGAAATTGGCCTCTCTATATAAGTGATTTGACTCTTGTCTCCCAATTCCACTACTGGAGCTCGCGAAAGACAAGGACAAGGTTCGCGTGCTGGGTCCGTGGGCGTGGTTGGCGATAGCACATTGATGATTGTGGTCGAGTCAAGTTGCAACTCAACTTTCATGTACCTAGTATTCCACGCCAATGTAGTCCCTTAAGAGCGCCCCATAGCTCCGGACGAATGATTGTGCATCTCCCAAGTTCATCGTGCAGGCCCCTAACAAGCAACTCTGCCCGTCTCTAAATGCCCCTGCAACGGTAGACCCTAACGTTTGCAAAAGCAAATCGTCATAGATCACTGTGAGCCAATCTGTAAGGGTCGGTCTCCACCCAACAACCACGTCTCGACGCGTCCCCAACATCAATATTATAAGTGTTTTTCAAATATGATATTGCTTATCTTGTTTTATATTTTCGAAATAAAATTAAAATATGGTAAAGACAATCTTTTTTAAAAATAGATTTTCGAGATAATATTTAAATTTCAAAATAGAACTCCAAATTAAAAGCCTCTGTTTTTATGTTATACAAAAACACGTTTTGGCTTTTCAAAAGCAAAGCTTTTAGAGGCGTTTGGCCCTACTTCACCTTTTAAGCAAAAAAATACTTCTAAAAGTCAGGCCAAACATAGGGCTAGTTTGGCCCTGCTGTAACTTTTGCATAAACAGCTTCTGACTGGAGCTTTTATAGAAGTACTTAAAAAAAACAGTTGAGTGTTTGGTTGAAAAACTATTAGAAGTGCTTTTTAATATGAGAGGTTGTGTAAAATGACTACAAAGAAGTTATAATATAAACAATCAATAAAAATTATTAACAATAAAAAGTAGTCAAAAGAGATATTTTTAGATTTCTTTTATATTAAATAAAATCATTTATAATTTAATTTATTTTTAAAATAATATAAATGAAATAAATTTATATTTTCTGAAATAAAACTAAAATATGGTAAGGATAATATGGTATTTTCAAAATAGCTGTTCGCAGAAGCTCCAAATCGGAGCTTCTGCTTTTATGTTATACAAAATCACTTTTCGGCTTTTCAAAAGCCAAGCTTTTAGAGGTGTTTGCCCCTGCTTCAGCTTTTGAATCCCAAAAACACTTCTAGAATTCGGTCCAAGCATAGGAATAGACCAAATTATCTTACTATGTCAAATTTTATTTATAAAAATATAATTTTCTTTCACTTATATTTTAAATAATTTTTTTTAAAAATATTAAAATAATTTAACAGACCTCAAACTAGCTCATTATACATCTCGATTTAAATTGGAATTTTTATTGATGAAATTAATAAAAATGTGAAGATCTTTTAGAATATCGCCTCATATAGGTTTTATTTTAAAATCATTATACCTATATTTTAAGATCTCTCAATCTACACATCCCTCTATAATATATAACAGTACTTCAGGAGATTTTGAGCATTTCAAATTCATTGCACTCTTCTTAATTGTAGCTAGGGGTAAATTTGTAAGTTCAACTTAGAACTTAAATATCTTCTTACGAGAAAAAAATATCATTACAAAGACTTGAACTTGAGTCCTTCAAATTGATAATCAATATCCCTAACCAACTATACTACACCACTGTTTATGTATTTTTTGAATTAAAGAGAGAAAATACTAAAATATCTCAAAATCATACGACTATCCACCGCAACAATCAATCATCGAATTAATTAATAACTGTAATTATTTACAAAGTGAATCATCATGAATCAACTAAGTGAGTTCCTCTAATCACACAATTCTTCACCAAGAATCAAATAGTACATTTTGAGTTTATGTATGTCTTACAACTTTTCATTTATTAGGTTACATGACCTTGTAGTTTGTAGGAATACAAGGATTGTTTACAAAAGTGATATACAAAATTTTATTTCAAAACATAAAATTTGACATTTATGATCTATGGCTTTGTAACGAGACATTTTCAATGCTATAAGTGAATGACCAAAAATCATTGGCTAACAATTTTCCTAGTGGTTGACAATTATAAGCATAGAATTGAAAGACTAAATACCATTGACAACTGAGCCAATTATCATTGGCTAAATTTAACTAAAAATGGTATGTGTATATACATTCGAAATTCTATGGTACGCTTGATGGATTGAGGGTTATTGCATCTCCTTAGTTAAATAACATTATCTAGACCATAGATTAATCACGTAACTAAACCCTATATCATAATTCTCTAAATCCCAATGTAGTGCATATGGTATGTTGTATACATCTTGGCGAATAAGAATCATTGATTATGTTCTTAGTTTATGTGATATTAGGGTTTAAGTTCTATAGATTTAGAGTATATGATTTAATTATTTGAAACTTAATCTCCCTTTTCATATTTCCTGCAATGTGAGGGAAATTAGGAATGACATTTTTGTCTTCACAATTACAAGTATTTTTTATTTATTTACAGAAAAAGATAGGCATATTGAGATTTGAACCATGGTCACTTCATACAAAGTGTAGGTTTAAAATCAAGCAGACTATGTAGATATGTTGTATTTTTTAAAATTAAAAATATATATGAAGCTAAAATATGAAATCACAAAACTTTTCAACAGTTAGCTAGCCCAATAAATATTCCGTAAGTACTTATTTGGTGTTTTGATACTTCGATTTTGATATTTTTATTTTAATTATACTTTAATACTTAATTTAAAATTTTATCTATCTTATAAATAGACAATAACCACAAATTTGCAACAAAAATATTGTTGGTTCGAATATTTCATATCGAATTATAGTAATGAATATGTAGAAGTGACAGAGAATTCTTAAATTACCATTAATTTCCTGAACTATAGTGAAGCAATCATATCTTTGTACATACTATAGGGGGCTGGTTCTCTGAACATTTTTGTCCGGTTAAATACTAAGTTTTGAAACTCTTCCTATGGGTGTACATGGATAGGTTCGTTTGGGTTTAGATATTTTAATCACTACCTCATATACCATGATTTTGAAAACACTAAATACAAACTTACCCAAATAATTTAGAATTTTAACGGTTTGTGTCCTCCATACCAAATGAACCAATTTACATGTCGCTTAACTAAGGACGATCCCATTGCCCAATCCCATCATTCTAATGCCAATCCGTAAAAGTAATCCATATTCGCATTTGTTAACACATGTTTCACATTGTCATTACTGTGACCGGTAACTTCGTTGCAACTAATTTGGTATTGTTCATCATATGGCCTCCAAACTGATAAACATATCGGGCCAACAGTTTTATGACAAAACTCAAAGTGAAGACAACTCACCGCCTGATGGAATTTTGGCGCTTGCTGGTGTCCATTAATCTAATTGCAAGCATAATGATTGCTAAAATTAAGCTTTCACGCAACACACTGGGAGTTGGGGGTGTGAACTTGGAGTAAAAGTTGATATTGGGTTTGGGAAGGGAAGTGGTGAGAGGAAGAAATTGTGTTTGGATTTGGTAGCAGGTAAAGTTCATGGTTCGGTTTCTTTTCGTAAAATGCTATGATTTATTTTAGTTAGAGGTATACTATTATGGTTATGTGGGATCAAATGAACCAAAAATGAGCTTGGGGGATGGGAATTCAAAACTTAGAAGGAGTGGATTAGATTTTGATAAACTCAGGTTCATGATTAACTGAAAGAATATTTAGATTTAGACTGTGTGGTATTGAGATGTTCATAGAGAGTTTAAAACTGACCCAAAGCCATGGATTGATATTGGTTAGTTGATTGTGATTTTGAGGAAGGTGTATAATAAGTCATAGAAGTAGTTTGCAGCAAGTGAATGGAGTGAAGAGGCAGTTGGTCAGGGTAGTGATTGAACCAACAAGGGTATTGAAAGACATAGAAGCAAAATTGGAGCAGTTGAAGAGAGAAAAGTGGTAGATGATCAGGATATTAATGAAAATGGAGAGGGTATTGAAGGACATGGAAGTGAACTAGATCAGGTGAAGGCAGAGAAGGAGGAGAAGAGCATATTGATGGAATTGAAGTGAGTGTTGGTTTTACGAGCTTATTAAAACTGCCCGAGGAAGATGAGTTGGCCAAATACAAGAAAGAGGATTGAGGAGTTAGAGATCAAGCAGACAAGAAACTCAATTGAAAGAGAAATTCAGGCTCATGGAGAGAAGGTCCATCAAAGTAGCGTAAATGGAGTTGCAGAAGGAGGATTAGAAATTGAATTTTGGTTTAAAACATATACGTCGAGAGATTGAAGATGGAGGGATAACAAGTTGGTTGTACAACGGAGAGTGAAAACTATTGGATCTTTAGGTGTTATGGTTGTTGCAACTACCACAACCTATGTTTATGTTAAAACGAGGAATCATTGATTGATTTGCTAAAGTTAAGGTCGATTCATTATTCAAACTACTGGAACCTGTAAATAAGGAGTGTCTAATTTTGTATCGAGTCTATTAGTAATAGTGATGTAACTCTAATTTTGTCATTTGCTCTCAAGTTTTGATGAGCTCCTTTTAGTTGAGTTGTTAACATATGATTTACTTGAATCAACAACTATTCATTTCTGTTTTTTTTATAAATCCATTTCTTTTTTATTTGTGACATGTTATTCATAGAGGAGAGCTTTGAACCATTTATGTGGGATTGTGAGGTCTCATTCCAGTTTCAAACTATCTATGGATCGTGTGAGAATTTCAATGAACTTTTATATTATATTTCTGAACAATCTATTAACCAATATCATTTTAATGGGGGCTCAATTATCATTATGAAAATGAGATTAATGATACATTTTTATATTCTTAAATGAGGAGGGTATTTC